TTTCATGTTGGCTCCAAAGCACCTTTGCCTCTTTTTGGATCCAAATACTAGTTGTGAGTACTCACCAGTGCTGACCATTGCTCCCTCCAGTTGGCCAATGAGGGAGTACCCAAACAGGCTCCTGGCTGACTTCCTCACCCCCAGTCTCCATCGCTGTCCCTGCTTTACTCTCACCACGATTGTTCGCTGTGAGGCAAAAAATAAATAAAAAAACAGTTGTCAGCTGTCTGGCTGACCCTGCAGCCCATTGTGAGGACTCTGAGGCAGCTTGTCAGATGTGGGGAGGCAAAGTGCTAAGAGCTGAGTGATGGGGATTGGCAGGAGGTCCTGAACCTGGGAAACCAGCCTGTCCCAAAATCCCAAGGAGCTCCAGCAACACAAAACACAACTTTTGCAGTTTGACTTTGGGGGCAGCTGAGCCAGAAGAACATGGGCTTGGCTATTCAGCAGGGATGCTAATGTGGGGACCCAGAGGTCATTAATGCTCCCCCCATCATCACCAGTGCTCCCTCCCATCATCTTGAATTGTATATAGTTTTTTTTATATAGCATTATTTTTTAGCTAATTTAATATGGATATTTATATTTTTACTGTTAATTGGGAGCCTCCCAGAGTAATTCTGGAGGAGATGGGCAGCATATAAATTTAATAAAGAAACAAACAAATAAATTATTACTCTGGGAACAGCAAGTAAGGCCTTGGATCCATGGCTGCATTATATTTTCCTAGCTGGTCTTGAAATTTGATGCTTACATTGCATGGAAGAATTAATGGACATACGTTTGACGTCAGGACTCAGAATAAGGACAAAGTAATATCAGAACATCTCAGTCCCCCAGGACTGTCCGTTACAGATCTTAAAGTAGCTATTTTGGAACAAAGAAACTTTAATATCACAATCAAGGGAAAATTGCTAAACTCACATATATCAAAAATGACAAGCTATTTCAGAAGATTTCAACAAACAATACTTTTTTAACATGTTGCAAATGTTAATTGATAAGGCACTTATAATATGCCTTTGCATCTGCGCAACCACCCCTCTTCCCCTCCTTCCCCCCCTCCGCTTCATCCCAGTTTAATCCTACATCAGTTTAGCCACTCCATGTATTACAGTTTGTTATGTGTAATTGTTTTTATGTATTTATTTTTTTTCATTGTTGTACGTTGCCCAGAGTCACCTTGTGTGAGATGGGCGGACATATAAATACGATAAATAAAAATAATAAATAAATAATGATGTATGTGATGAAGTAAGTTGCAGCCCACAGACGTTTGTGCCTTTTGATGAAATTTGTTAGTGGGAAAAGGTGCTAGCAGACCCTTTCTGATTTTCTACTTCTTCAAAAGAAGATTATTTATGGAATTTTGTAGGGAAAAAAGGCCTTCCATGTTTCTGTGAGAGGCTCCAATCTGAGTGTGCCCTAGTGGTATATGGGATTCAGATTCTAAGAGGGCAAGGGCACTCCGGATCCAGTATGGCACCCTTGCTAATAGCTGTCACCTGTTCCTTAAAGGAGTCTCCTGGCAACACAAGATAAAGCTGCCTGAGCCAAATGGGGCCTGGGCACACTTGTGACTACTGCAGTGATGGGAGTGTATTACCTCCTGCTCCTTTATTTATTTTTTCAAAAAAGTAAAAATTCTGGCTGAATTCAGCTTAGTACAATTTTGATTAAAGTTAAGGACATTTATCCCCACTTCTTTCTTTCTTCCCATGTTGTGGCCTTGAGGGAGAGAGAAACACAGCCAAAGCACAGATATAGAAAGAACATAGTGGGGTATGCACTCAGAAACTGAATAATATTCCCATATAGTGCAGAGAGGCAATTGTACTTCTGCTTTTAGCTCACCCTGGAGAAAGCATGATTTACTGGCACTAGAAGAAATCAGAAATTAATGAGTTGGAAGAAAAGGAGTCAAAATGTAGCTGCCTTTGTCCTTGGGGGAAATCACAGGTACTATCCAACAGATGTCTGTTTTGGCCTTATGATGCAAAATTTAGGTCTTTACATTCTTTTTTTTTTTTGAGGCATACCTTTGATGCTCCAAATATTGAAACTTGGTGTTTATTAATGAAGTTCCTTATGTTGCAGGCCAAGGACAGTGATGATGATGACGAGGTTACTGTTGGTGTGGATCGGGATCACTTTATGGACGAGTTTTTTGAGCAGGTGACAAACCCTTATTTCCTATATGAAAATGTATTGGGGAATACAGTAGAATCTTCCATGTCTTTTGTGATGAACCTGTTTCCTGTTTATTGCATGACAGTTCCTTATATGCCCAGGAACAGGGACAAAAGAAGTCTTAAATAGACACAAGGAAATTCTACAGATGTGGGCATGTGAGACTGGACATTCAGCAGTTAGAAAAGACTCAGTTAACCAAACAATTTTAAGCACTTTTATTAGAAACATGTTTATCATGAAAAATATTTTGAATATATTTTCAGTAGGATGGAATTCAATGCAGTAGAGATGTATAGGATTGCACAGTTTATCTCTGTTCAGGGAAAGAACAACAGAATAATTTAACAGTGTGGTTGTGATCAAATAATAGGCAGTTGGTTAATAGCATTTGACCGATCACAAAATGCGTAGTGCTCATTGTAGTTGGTTTCAGTATCCATTCTTTAAATTCTGCAATCATGCCAAGCTTTCTTTCCTCAGGTGGAAGAAATCCGTGGGTTCATAGAGAAGATCTCAGAAAATGTGGAAGAGGTGAAGCGAAAGCACAGTGCCATCCTTGCAGCCCCAAACCCTGACGAGAGTGAGTAAGGCTGTCTTGCACTTCTTTCACAACTGGTCGAGAAAGCAGAAGGATTTTGCTAAGGAAAGAGATTTATATGGTGGTTGCAGTTAGAATAAATCCCTTCACTGCATTGTCTGTGCTCATTTAAACTGGCTGGATTAGAAATACTGGGGTGATGGTCTGTTTGGAAACTTAGTGGAAAGATGGAGCATGGCCGTTGGAAGGGACATGAAGCTAGTGTCAAGCTGCTCAGCTATCTGGATTTTTCATCAGTGTTCATGCTTGTCAAAGAGTTTGTCTTGAGATGCTTCCAGATTTGGTTTTTCATGGTGCAGTTTCCCTGCCTCGTTCATGGAATTTTATGAGGAGATCCAGATTATGTTATCAATCACTTTTCACGCCTCTCCACTACTTCTACCTATCTGTTTTGTGCCACAAACAAATCTACTGTGGAGGGAAAGATACAAAGGCTGCATGATACCCTTGGGTTGGTAGTGTTAGGTGTTATCCATGCAGAAGCAACTTTGCTTTTTAGATTAGCCAGCTGGAAATTCTTTTTTGTTGGGCGGGCTGCCCTGCATGGATCTCTGCTACTATGCAACCTCTATTGTGGCTGGCTTCTTATTTTCTCTGCTCTGTTCCAAACAATTGAACGTTCTCTCCCGTGGCAAGCGTGAGTGTTGCGTAAATATCAATTAACTCCCTTGCCTGATTCATGTGAGCACATTAGAACAAAGTGCTCTGTAATTATCTATGCCTTAATTTAGACAGCAGAGCCTAGCACTCGTCCTGTCCATCTCACAGTAGGAAACCTTTGGGGCAACCAGGGGCGGGTGGTCGGGGTGCAGGAAATGATGGTATGAAGCCTAGTAGATCACTTCATGGCTGACCCAGCTGCTCATGCGATCTAAACAGTTGTTTCAGGGGGGAATGATATGATTAGGGGACAAAAGTTAAATCATTTGTAGTTTAAAAGCTACATCTCAGAATCTGTTACAAAGCTGGAAGGTACCGGGTTCCAATCCTAGGCTTGCAGGATGCAGCACAGATATTAACAAAGAAAGAAAATTGATTTGTCCTGTGCAAACTGGACCAAATGACTTTATTTTATTTATCAAATTTCAAAGCCACCTGACTTCTTGACAACTCTGGGTGGCTTGCAAACAAAAAGAAAACAGTACATGTAAAAAAGGTCACAACTGACTGGAAGAACAGTTCACCAACTATAAACCAATGATAACTAAAGGGGCTTGTTAGCCCTTTGAGGTAGTCCAGACAAGAAGTACACCCAGACAAGAAGTACACCCAGAGCTAGACACCTAGCTCTGTCTTTATTGTAAGGTTGTATTAACAGAATCTTGCAGGTCTGAAAGTACCCCTCCCTCCCTTCACTTTTACTCCCCTTAAAACTAGGGAGGGTCCCTACTGAGACACTTTCACCACCCCTCCTCCTTTGGACTCAAATTTTGTTTATCAGTCTGTTGTCTAGGATGTGGCTCTTCCTCCTGTCTCCCAAGGTCATCCCCACATACCATTACAGGGCTCCACAATCACCCTATCCTAAGGCTTGGGAGAACAACCAGGTCTTTAACAGTGTCCTAAATGTCGTAAGAGTGGGAGCCACATGAATCTCTGGGGGGATATCATTCCAGAGGACAGGTCCTGCAACAGAGTAAGTGTACTTCCTAGATCCCGTAAGATGACACTGTTTAATTAATGGGACCCAGAGCACATTCACCCTGCTTGATTATATCCAATTGTTATAAGAAAAGTTAGTTGCTATTTTCCTATAATTGAGCCAGGGCAAGGGAGTTATGGGCAAGAATCAGGCAAGGGAGTTACAGTAAGTGTTTTCCCACCACTCCTTCCAGAGGGAGGGCTTAGAACTGTTGTGACACTGCTTTCTATAGAAAGGTGGACCAGAATTCCTTTCATCCAAAAAGATCTTCATTTATTCTTTCTCCTGTTTTCCTTTATTTGGTTGACTTAGTCATTTCAGAGGATCTATGGCCAATAAACTTATAAACAGTAACTTGCAGTCCATGGACTTGTCAGAGGACTTCTGCAACAGCTGGGGCTGAGCAAATGAGCTAACACCCCAAAGCATGAGAGAGTTCACCTATGAATTCCAAGTGGTTGCCAGTAGGCCTCTGGGCACAATTCAAAGAGCTGGGTTATAAGTACTGTGAAGAAGGTAGATGGAGATGAGAGAGAGGGGAGAGGGCAACTCTGGCTAAAAAAATGGACATTAACTTGAAGTTAAAATTGATCTTCATATTGCCCCTGTTCAAGGGTGACAAACAGATGCTAGTCTATTTCCTAACTATAACTAAGGACAAAAAGAAAGTCCTACCCCTAATCAAGAAAAAAGGCAAACAGAAGGGCAACAGAACATCAGGCTGTTCCACTTGCATCCTTTCCCATGAATAATTCTCCTTTCCAGAACCTGATAACTCAGAAGTCTCAGAGGCAATCAGTGATCTTGCTGAAGGTGAAGATTTCTTGCAAGTGGTGGGTTTAGGAAGCCCTCTACAAGGGTAGGGACAGAACCTTGCACTAGCTCCAACACAGAATCCAGCCTCAAGGGATAGGAGATACATGGCCAAGTAGCTTAGGGAATCTGCAGCCACCTGTCATCGTTTTACTTATCTCTCCTTCATACCGTGTTTTCTCAAGTCTTCTTCCATTAAGCTCTCTTCTGGCTTTTCATTTTGAAATTGGGGAAAGGGAAGGGACTATCCCCTCCCACATGAAACAGTGTCTTCTAAGCTTCACCTTCAGAGTGAGTAGAATGGAAATGCCCACTATAGAATGCCTTGTCTCCACTGTAGAAAATGGACCTTCCTAGTAAATCCAATGGACAGTTTGAACAAGAAGCATTAAATGGTGGCTTGATGCGTCTACACATTTGTGGCATGTGATAAGTCCAGACCAAGGTTAGCAAGCTGTTGATTTTATCTAGCTCTTTGTTTTATGACTCTCTGTATCCCACAGGCTAACAGGAATTGGCAGCAGTTTTTCTAAATGTTAATAGCCTTTCCTCTCTGGTTTACAACCTAAGGCAATTAAATAGTTTGTGGAAATGACAATGACATTGAAGTGAAAATGACCCTTAAACATAATACCTCTTTTTTTTAAATTAAAGCAAAACTGAAACAGCTATCCTGTGTGTTTAGCTAGCCAGAGCAAAGGTCAAGACTGTTTTATGTGCAAGCAGTCACTTATTAAATGCCTCCTTGTTTAAAAAATGCTTCAGAATTAAGTGAGGTTAATTCTAATGAAGAGCTTTTCTGGAGTTCTGCCCAAAAGTTAGTGTAGTGTAGGTGAGTCAGTAGTATAATGATTAAGGTTTTGAAATGGGACTGGGAGACCCAGGATCAAGTCCACCTTCAAGCGATGAAAGCTCTGTGTGGCTTTGGGTCAATCATTCTATCTCAGCCAACATACCGCACAGGATATTGCAGGAAGAATTGGAGAGAGGGTTGAGTACTCTGCCTTGAGCTCCTGAAAGCAAAGGTGGGACATAAACCTAACATATACTGTATTTCCAAGCCCTGTTGTCCATAGCAACTATCTGTTGGGAAGAATGCTAAAATAATGGATTAAATTAGACTCTCTTGCTGGAAGTTAGAATCAGCAAACTGAGCCCTTCGTGTTATTAGATTTCTATCCCACCTTTCCTCTAGAAGGATTTATAGTATTTTCCTCCATAACCACCACTGATGAGGTAGGTTGGGCTGAGAAATAGTGACTCATGAATAGTACACTATTCAGTACCTCCTTAACCAGAATACCACCCCAATGGTATACCAGACATACTCAATCCAAAAGCCTTTTGCTGTCAACTTTGCTCCTTGTTTGCTGCCCTTTTTTTTTTACTTAAATTTCCTATTTCAGAGTTGTTACTAATACATTCCTGTAGGTAAAAAAAGGGAAAATTTTCCCTTCAGTCTAGCTCGGCTCCTGGTAACTTTGTGGACACGTCCATATGGTTTCCTTCACAGCAAAATACAAGTTTACCATTGCCTTCTTTCACAAACCTTTTTTTTTTCCAACTTCCTGGTCTAGTCTACAGCCCTGGTATTTCCTAGGCATCTTCCATCCATGTATGAACCAGGTCCAACCAAGCTTAGGTTGTTAAGATCAGCCCAGGTCAGCCAGCTGGGCAAATTTCTGTAGAGCAATATATAATTAAAAACAAAATACAGTGCACAAATGCTAAAAACAATACTGTTAGACTTCCTTAGCAGTGGCTGGATCTGTAATAATGCTCATTACAATTCCCTAGCAAATGTTGCAAGCCCTGCTGGTTTTTCAAGCCACGCTGCTGTGAAAAGCACAAGAACAAACTGGGAAGTGCTTTTCTGGTTAGCGGCAAGTTGATTGGAGCAGCATATCCTTCTTCCCTGCTCTGAAATGTGATCTATGGTTTATATCATATAGTCTGTGGTAGCTCAAAAAGCCATGTCATTCCTTGTTCATATCTTGCTTCCTCTGACCACCTTTTTCTCCTCTTGTGCCTGCTGTGGGCACTCCGTGATTAGGGCTGCGTGGGATGGGGTCTTGGGATTCAGTGGGCAGATGCTTGAATCTCCAGAAAGGATAGCTGGATTTAGATAGCTTCTTCCAGGCTTAGCCCCCATTTGCTCCCACCTCAGCTGCCCACAGCCCTGCTGCGTTCCCCACATAGATGCCGTCAGTCTCTTGAGGCTGCCCACTTGTTAGCTGGATGCTTTGCTTCCCCTTCTGGCTCTCATGCTCCTGTGGAGCTTCAGTCAAACCTTTTGCTCCACTGTGCCATCAGCACAAGCCCATGTTTTGTCTGCTCAGTTGTTTAAATTAGATTTGCCTGGTTCTCCCAATTATATTCATAAGACTGAAGTTCAGGGAGGGGTGTTAATCCCATTGCTACTCCACTCTGCAAACAGACAACTCAAACATTGGTTATGCATGCATCTGTGGTGATAAGGGGCTTGGATTGTTCCCATTAAAAAGGAATGCTGTAGATTGTATGTCTC